GGCGCTCTCCTAAGTTATAAACACAGTCCCTACTGATAAGAATTATTACAGAAAGCCTATTCTGAACTATGCTGAGATACCCCCTGACCATATTAAATGCATTTTCAGCACAAAATATAACTCTTCTGGTGAGACATCGCGCATGCGCTAAAACAGTAACGTAGCCAGATTATGTATACTAACTTGTGTAATATGGAGCCGGGACCTTACATGCAAGGTCTGTTTCCTATTTCAAAATAGAGGTCTACTGATGGAATATTATGATAGAAATCTATGCTGGGATCACCCCTCTTCAATTTAAATTCATAATTTTGGCAAAATATTCTTCCTCTTGGGAGATATTGCGCATGCGCGAGCACCGTTTCGGACGTGCAGTACAGCCTAAAAAAAGTACGTAATATAGCTTGCTGCGGAAGAGAGGGGTGGGAAACTGAGGGAATGTTTCAGGGAAGACAGCAGAGGGGCGGTGGAAGAAGAAGGAGGCGGAGCGTGCGACAAGGGATATAAGGGGAAGGGCAGGCGGGGATAAAGTAGTAGTTTTGCACCCTACTGGCTAGGGCGCTCTCATTGACTGACAACCAGCAACGCGAGCATCATTCTTATGTACATTTTTAGCTAAGGTGAAGACTTGCAGAGGCTAGCTGGGGCGGGATGCTGCGGTGAAAGTGAATTCTTTAGAACAGATTTTACCATGCACATCTCTCCCGGGCATGTCCCTGCCCATTTTGAGCGCGTAAATTTGGCTGAAATAAATTATCTTGGCTGGCAACGCAACCAGCGACACGTACATGTGTCATTTCTATGTAGGGCCTTACATTAGCTTAGGTGATGAATTGTGGCGGGATGCTGCGATAAAAGTGAACGTTTTAGATCGGATTTTAACCTTCATATCTGTCTCGCCGCCGCTCCTGTCCATTTTAAGCCCATAAGATGGGCCGAAGAAAATTGTCTTGGCTGACAACACTATTCCAGCCACGTGAGCGTCATTCCTATGTACATAAACACAGGGAAATGATTGTGGCGCGATGCTGCTGCCAAAGTAAAGTGTTTAGAGTGGATCTTACCATGCACATTTCTCCCGGGGATGCCCCCGCCCATTTTAAGCGCATAAATTTAGCCGAAAGAAATTACCCTGGGTTGTCAAAGCAACCAGCGACGCGAGCGTCATTCCTATGGATTGTAGGATTGTAATAATTAAAGGATTGTGGCACGATGCTCCGGCGAAAGTGAATTGTTTAGAGGCGATTTTATCATTAATATCTTTCCCGAGCATATGCCCTGCCCATTTTAAATTGACTACGTAACGAATTTTTTATGCTGTATATTTGTAAAAAAAAGAAAGAAGAAAGAAGTATAATGCAGCAATTTAATCAGAAAAAGTGAACAGAATTACTTACATTTTGTGAAAAAATGGAAATATTTTTTTTACTTTTACTATTTACGGTGACGTAATCACTTTAAGCGCGGAAGTTTGGCTGTAAGAAATTATCTTGGCTGACAACACGACCAGCGACGCGAGTCACACGAGCACCATTTTTACGAACATAAGCATAGGGAATGAATTTTGGCGTGATGCCTCGGCGTAACGTGAATTGTTTACACGTCTGTATTATGTGTAATGTGTTTCCCTATTATAATGCTTGAGACGAACACGGGGACGATACGAACAGTGCCGGTGCCGGTGATGACTGGTCTCTAGACTGGTACCCTTTCGCCACCTTCACTCCGGCAAGTATCCTTCGCTTAGTGTAGCGTGTGGAACTGTTAACCGGGTACCAGTCTAACTGATCTCGTGTGATTTTGCTTGTTATTGTACTTCCCCGACAGATAGCGCTGTTTGATTCAAAGATGGCTGTTTAGTCGTAGTAGTTGTGGTTTATGTATTTGTCCTGAAAATGATGTATTTTATCGTCTAGTTCGTCCGTGAACATTGTCAGAAGTCCGGTAGTTCTCTTGCATCGTAGACGCCCAAGTATTCCTGCTAAAATGAGGGAATTTAAAGTGGTCGTTTTAGGCTCTGGAGGTGTCGGGAAATCGGCACTGACTGTCAAGTTCGTTTCCGGAAGTTTCATGGAGAAGTATGATCCAACAATTGAAGATTTCTATCGCAAAGAGATTGAAGTTGACTCAGCTCCATGTGTGCTTGAGATACTTGACACAGCCGGAACAGAACAGTTTGCGTCAATGCGTGATCTCTACATAAAAAATGGACAGGGTTTCATCGTCGTATATAGCATTACGAATCACCAAACTTTCCAGGATATCAAAATGATGAGGGATCAAATAATTAGAGTGAAGACCGTGGACCATGTGCCAATTGTGCTGGTAGGAAACAAAAGTGATCTACCGCACCAACGGGAGGTCACGCCCGAGGAAGGTGCGGCTCTTGCCAGCTACTGGGGTGGCTGCCCGTTTCTGGAAGCCTCCGCAAAGTCTACTCACAATGTAAATGAACTCTTTGCGGAGATTGTCCGTGAGATGAATTACAACCCAAGTAAATCGAAGAAGAGCAGGTGCTGTCTATGCTCGTGTACAGTTCTTTAACAACGGGTAAGTACATTTACTTACTTATTGGACTACAAATAATTTGGCGGTTGGAGGATAATAGGTCACCAACCAATCCCAACCAAAATTTTGGTGATTAGAAACACTAATAATAGTAATATTTAAAGAACTGGATGCGGTACTAATCTTCCTTTTCTAATCCCCACGCTTCGAAGAATCGAGTGCCTTGTGAAATACAAGAGAGGGAGCCCAGATATAAGATTAAGATACAATCCCTTCAAGAGAATGAATCTTGTGTCCCCGCCTAATTCCGAATATAAACACTTGCTGAAAACTTCACCTAATATGGAATAACTTTAGTATAACTTTAGCATGTACTTTAATATTTTACTATAGCATAATCTTAGTAAAAGTTATTCAAATCGGAATGAATTGCCTCTGTGTGTAGTGGGTTTACAGATTAATTAGCTCCAAGAAACGGTCTTGCTAGGGTTAGAAGACCGTTTCAAACATTGGCTGCAGCTAAACACGTAGTTGTCTTATTTGCCAAGTATCGCCAAAGAACACTTCACATGTGATATACCAAATGAATCAGCATACATCCACCTTCTTGTAACCATCGGTGCGCTACGATGCGCTGGGTACTTACTTAAAGGGCTACAGTGACTTTTTGAGACGAATGCAGCCAAATTTATGAATTCGCCACCATGTTGTATCATTCCGACTGTGACTAAAATCCGCAATGGATCAAACAAGGGAAATCTGCGATCTGCGATCCTCATATAAACCATCCCTACATCCGAGAACATGTCATCTAAGGTTTTTACAAATGGCCCAGACATTTGTGAACATCGTTCCACTTGCTTTGGTGTGTAATTGCCGTGAGAGCTTTCGTGCGGCTATTGTACTATTTTCTAGCAAGTCATTTCCGTTTCGGGTTTTCCGTGTCTCAATTGTTGAGCATGCGCAG